TAGACCCCTGAATTAGCACCCCAGCTTCTGGTCAGGACCAATCAATTACAGTGCACCAATCACTTGGTGAGGTTCTGATCTATATCCACATTTTCTACCTTTCTAAGCCCCAGTAGTTCTGCTTCCCCTGCACCTGTCCCTGGCCCTGGAACACAGATATTTATGGATTGTAGAATGAGGTTTGGAGTTTGTTCCACTCCTGGAGGCCGTACTGATGGCAGTGTTCCGGGATGGTTTATAAACATCCATGTCTAACAGCAACTAAAAGCATGATGCTACAGCAACTTGTTTGGATTCAGACTGACCTACATCTGTCTCAGCTCCCACATGATCTCCTTGTATATCTTTGGGCAAAGACCCTCTCAAGCCTTGGTCTCCCTTCTGTAAAACTGGGAGGACCTAGGACCAAGTTCACAGCCCAGTAAGCACTTGCCAAGAGGCGTCAAAGAGCAAAATTGAAATGTACTCGTTCACTTGTCCAGGTCCTTGCTAGTTCTGGGCAGAGACCTCTATCTAAGGGCAGGAAGGCAGGTGATCAAAGGTACCCACTGGGGCTGCCCATATAGGCCATCTGGAGGATCCAGGAAATGTGCTCCAACCCTGCCAGCCTCTTGTTCAAAACAGCAGAGGCAGCTGAACAAGCACTTTCTCAAATAACATCCTGATGGGAATGCTGGTTTCACAGCTATAAGGGTTTAAATGGGGTCCCTCAAAGTACATGTCCACCCAGAACCATAGAAGGTGACTTTATTTGGAAATAGGGTCTTTGTAGATGTAATTGGTTAAGGATATTGAGATGAGATCATCCTAGATTTAGGGTGAGCCCTAAATCCAATGACTAGTGTCCTTAGTAGAAGACATAGACACACCATGTGGAAAAGGCGGCAGAGATCAGGGTGATAGAGCTATAAGCCAAGGAACCCAAGGGTTGCTAGCAGCCACCAGAAGCCAGTAGAGAGGCTTGAGACAGATTCTCCCTCAGGCCACTGGTAGGAACTAAGCCTGCTGTCCTAGTCTGTTCAGGGCTGATGTAACAGAAGGGGGGGCTTATAAACTACATAATGTATTTCTCACAGTGCTGGAGGGTGGAAGTCTAAGATCTGATAGCTAGTGGCTGTCTTCTCACCTGTCCTCACATGGTAGAAGGATCTAAAGTAGAGGTCCCCAACCCCCGGGCCATGGACTGGTGCCGGTCCGTGGCCTGTTAAGAACAGGGCTGTAGAGCAGGAGGAGAGCAGTGGGCAAGCAAGCGAAGTGTCATCTGTATTGGCAGCCACTTCTCAGAGCTAGCATCACTGCATCAGCTCCACCTCAGATCATCAGGCTCTCACAGGAGCACCGGTGCCAAAAAGGTTGGGGACCACTGGTCTAAAGCACTCTCTGGAGTATCTTTTATAAGGGCATCAATCCCATTTGTGAGGGCTCTACCCTTATGACCTAATCACCTCCCGAAGGCCCCACCTCCTGATTCCATCACATTGGGGATTAGGTTTCAACATATAAATTTTAAGGGGGGGACACAAATTTTCAGTCTATAGCATTTGCCTTGATTTTGGCCTCTGGCCTCCATAAAACTATGACAGAATAAATGTCTGTTGTTTTAAGCCACCCAGTTTGTGGTAATTGTTACAGCTGCTCCAGGAAACTAACATGGCAGGAGTCTGAGACCAAACCTCCCAGTGTTGACCTGTCCCTTGGCTAGTGACCTGTCCCTATCTCTGAGGTCACTGCTCTCCTCTGTGGACCTCAAGGGCACTCTGTTGGCAGAGCTTCAGCAGAAAACCTGGCTTCTGCTGAACTTTGTTGAGACTCCTAGAATTTAACTACTCAGCTGCAGCAAAAGGTACTCAATGAAGAAAACAAATGTTGACAAGTGTATTTTAAAAATAGCACAGTGACCAGGGAGGAGCTGCCAGGGGCAGTGCTTTAATTCTTGAGCTGGGTGTTAGTTTCATTATTCCTTCTACTTTGGTTCTTTTCATGTGAACATTATTTATTTTTTGTTATGTAGTAATAACACTCAAACAAGCTAATAGTTCTGATCATCGCAGTATTCCTCTAATGTCTAACTGCCAAAATAGAAAAGAACAAAAAATAAGATGACCCGACAGTCTAACCTCAGACTGATATTGCCCTGTATCTGGTGCCAATAATGAGAAATTGCCAACCACTGAGAAAATCCGGAAACAGATTCCCAAATAGATTTAACATCTGATTTCTATCTCATCCTTCACCTCGTTCTTTTGCTGATTCCAAGTAGAAAAAAAAAAATTAGCAATCATTAAACAGTTCTTCCAGTCAATTGTTCTTGTTAAGATACCTGGAACCAATATCTCAGGACATGCCCTCCCAGGACTCTGGGTGATCCACCTCCTCCAAATCCAAGGTTTCCTTCAGAGTTTTGCAGAGGAAGGACTCAAATAATTCTTGGATTGAACTTTAGTCTGACTGTGGAAGAGAAACAGAAATCTAACATTTAATCACCACCACATAAACCAGAATCCCTAAGAGATGGACAGGAAGCATGGAAGCAACATTCAAGAGGATGACGTGGGCTGTTTTTCACCTATCAGATTAGAGAGACAAGACACTTGATAAAAATCATCCTGGCCACTGGTGGAGAAAACAGACATTCCAACTTCACAGCTAAGAGACTGCTGATCACATAACCTCTCTGGAAGAACATTAACCATTTTAATGAACATGCCCTTTAGCCTGGCCACTCTTAAGAAGTCTCTATATTGGATGTAAACTCCAAGAAGTCAAGGAGGTTTTGATGTGTCTGTGCTATTGGAGTCCCACATATATTCACTACATATTTGCTCATGCTTGAGTCTATTCAGTGCAGCACGGTTTATAAAAGAAAATATGAGCGACAACTTAAATAGCCATCAGTATGAGACTGCGTATAAAATCAACATATCTGTTGGGTAATTTCTGATGCAAATTTACCAGTGATTTAAAAGGGGCCGGAGGATACCCTCTGAGGCATAGACTACTCTGGAAGGAAACAAATTATTAACCATGATGCCTCCAGAGAGGGATGAGGTGCAGGTACTGGGAGACCTGCCTATTTTGCTGTATGCCCTTTACAACTTTTTTTTTTTACCATGTACATCAATTACCTTGTCAAAGTCTATAAATATTTGCATATGTGTATATATGCATACACACACATATGTATATATAAGATGTGTGTATGGTGTAGTATATATGAATGTATATATATGCATATCTGTAAAACATCTACATATATGCATACACATACACACACCTGTTTTAAATGACTCCTTTCGAATTTGGACAGAAAACCTCAATGGCTTCAGTGTCCATAGGAGAAGCAAAGGTGACATGACCCTCTGGCACTATCTTTGCAGGGAGAGACAGGAACCGGGGTAAGAGGCCCTATGCAAGTCATACAGGAAATAGCACATTATTGCTTTTTTAACAACAAAGCCAACAGTCTCCTGTGCTGCACATTTGCAAATCACACTCAGAGGAACTTGAAAAGTTCCAGAAAAATCATCCCCAGCACTATTCCAGGCTCCAGTTTTGCAGTTTAGCTCTAAGTGGCTGTAACATTAATTCTCTCACTCTGAAGAGTGTTTCCTTACTCTCAGTTCATTGGCTTCAAGGGCCCAAGGAGCTCCGGAGGGTTAGCGAAGGGCTTCGGTCTACAGGAGCGGGAGCCAGAGGCCTGGCAATTCCCTCCCAGGTGACCCTGCCAGCAGCAGCACTCCATGTGTTGAAGCCCCGTTCCCCAGTGCCCCCTAACTCCCTGACTCCCCAGAGACACATGCTCCAGCAGCGACCAGGGGCCACTCTTCCAGCTCAGTCTTTCCAGATTCAGTTAGTCATGATGCCTGAGGAACAGCTGCAGGGAGGGTGGGGGTCCCTTCCTCTGCCAATCTCTCAGAGATAAGCACAACAGATGGGCAAAAAATGGGGCAGGTCCACAGAGAAGGGTCAGTAATGCTCTAGGAGGGGTGGGCTCTGCCTCCCCAACTCAAGTCACTTTAGGTTTGTTGCTGATAAATAGAGATTATTCCGTTTTTGTCTGGGATGGGATTATTCTAAACTCAGAAATCACTTTATGAACCATCATAAATGAAAAGATAACATCTGAGTGGGCTTTTCTTTGTGGGGGGTGGGTGGGTGGGTAGGGTGCAGTGATCCTGAGATAGTAAGGTTTGGAAAGATGAAGGACCTGGGAGGGTGAGAGTTACAGAGAGAGGCACAAACACAGGTGCACGTGGAAGAAAGTATGGGCAGGTGCACTGACTGGTGGTGTGTGAGAGAGGGAGCGCTGCTAGGGACACAGGACAGGTGGGGATGGGGAGTACCTGAGGGTCCTGACTCAAGTTGCTGAAGGGTAGGGCAGTGAGAGTAGCACCGACTTGGATCTGAACAAAGTAAGTGAAGGGATACCAGCAGGCCTAGATGTGAGTTTGGGCCACAGGCTTAAGTGTCGGTGTGGGGATGCAGGCCCAGTTGTGGAGGCACGGGAGTGCAGTGCTGTAGGGAGGAGACAGCTCAGGGTGTGCGGTGTCATCTGGTGAGACAGTCTTAGGGGATGTGGAGGGTGTCCATGAGTGGGGCACCCTGTCCGGTGTGTGAGGGGGGCCATCAGTGGGGGCAGACTCAGGTGTGTGTAGGGCTGCAGACCTAATCTTGGGGATGTGGGGATATGATCGAGGCGGACAGTCTCAGGTGTATGTTGGGGGGGGTGCCAACAGGAAGGGACGCAGTGTCAGATGTGCGTGGGCTGACGATTAGGGGCTCAGACCCGGCCGTGAGGGCCCTCAGAGGACACCAGACACTGGGTGTGGGGGACTGGGGGGCTCTAACCTCTCTCTGCCCCTACGACGCTGCTGTCACAACCCCGCCTCGTCCGTCTCCGCCCTGAGACCCATGACAGGGCCGTGTCTCGCTCTGGTTCGGTCCAAGGGGCACTGGCCCCCCTACGCCTGCACCGCCCTGCGCCCCCCGCGCTCGCTCACCGGCTGGGACGCGTCGCCGTCGCCGCCGCCGCCGCCGCCGCCTCCAGTCGCCACGGCTCCGCCTCGCACACTCCCCGAGTGAGCCGCGGGAGGGGTCATTGGCGCGCTCCAATTGGTTGCATGATGGCCAATCAGCGCTCGAGACGGCAAGGATTGGTGAGCATAAAGCAGACAAGCAGCCCCTAAAACCAATCGCTGAGGGGTAGAGGCGGGCTGTTGGGAGACACTCTTGGTCCCTGAGGTGGTCTCGCCGGGTGCGAGGTGCTGGGAGGTGCAGGCCTGGAGGTAGGCAAGGATTGGAGCACTGGCAGAAGACAGGCAGTCTGACCACCAATCGATGGGGAGCAAGAGAGGGCTCCAAGGTGGCTGGCATGACGGGTGCGAAAGGAATGGAGGCAGTAGCCTGGAGAGCGACGATAATTGGCTGCGAAACTGAAGATGGGCAGGCCTGGCGGCCAGTCGCAGGGGCCGTAGGCGGTGCGCCCCAGGAAGAGCTGGAGCGTACAAGGTGCAGAGTTTGGCCCTGAACCTGGCAGCCAGAGGTGGCTTCGGACAACCTGTGCAGGGTACCCTGAGGCTGTGTTGAAAGAATTTGGGACATCACGGCCGAAGAACTCGTAGATAATCTTTCATTCCCTCAGTCCCCACTATTCCTTTGCAAACGACAAGGGGAGGGCGAACTCACTGAAAGTCACTCAGGCTCGCCCTCTGCAGTTCAGTTATTGTGATGACGAAAATTCTCATTCAACGCGCTTTGTGATTTTTCTGGAAGTGTTTGACTTTTCTGAGTGCAAGCATTCTGTCCCACTATCCCGTGGCATCCCAGTTCTGCCTCCTCCCGGATAAGCCTTTTGTGAAATATATGCTTTTTGTGAATCCTAACCACAATCCCAGGAGTTCAAAGCGACCATTGGCCCCCTTTACAGAAACCAGAGCACAAAGAGGTCAAGCACTTTGCCCAACATCACACAGCACTTCAGTGGGTGGACGTGGGCAGCTTGCTTTTTGGAAGGTAGGTAAGGCAGTATCAGAGAACTTCCACTGCAGGCCTGAGAGACCTCGGTTCCAATCTCTGTCCAATCACTGACCCACTGCACAACCCTGGGCACTTTGAGTCTGTTTCCTCAAGGGACAATCATTTCTATACATTAATCTTTCCTCTCCGGGGTTTCTTCCCTGGGAGAACTTATATCTCGGCCCCCACCTTGACCTTCTGGTGAAAGCCTTCAACCTGCAGCAGGTCACATCCGGCCTGTGAGCCTTGGCTTCTCTGTGAGCTATGATTCATGGGATTCTATGCAGACAGATACCAACAGTTTAGGGAGCCATCTGCCATCCAGTGCTTTGCTGTCACTGGCACCTTCCCCAAGCCCACCCCTTTCTCTGACTCCCTTAATCTCCAGGGTGGAGAGGGTTATAAATAATCCCAGATACTGGTTCTTATTACTCCAGGTGCAGCCAAGGGTTGATGGATATCCAGTTCAGAACCAGGGAGTCCTGGGAGGGAGCAAGGCTGAGGTAGGCTGAGCTAGGCCTTAATAAGGGCTCACATTTCAGGGCTGTACAAACCTCGCCTAAGTGCTTAATCTAAAGGGCCTCCTTGGAGGAAATGACTGGGGCTCACACCATGAAAGTCACTAGACCCAGGCCACCATCTAACTCCCGATATTCCCATAATATTCCTACCTCCTCTCCTATACTTCTCAGCTGTGGTTTGCTTCCTGACACATCAAGGCCCTGGTCTACATTCTGTCCTCTGGAGAAAAGAAGGAAGCAGAATCTGCCGAACATCTACTGAATGTCAAGTCCTTGCCAGGCCTGGCACTTCCCAAACATCATGTCACCATGTGATTTCCACATGGGGTGACAGTGCCCACTTTACAGGTGAGAAAACCCAGCCTCGTGTAACAAGTGTTCCTTGCTGGAAGGGCCTGGGGCTGAGTCTGAATCCCTGCTCTTTCTGATGTCCTTCAGCAAGTGACTCGAACTCCCTTCCTCAGTTTCTTCAACTACCTCCCGGCGTTAACAAAGTGAAAGTAAAACATAACTGAGCACTCGCTGAGCATTTGTAATGGACAAACTGTTTTGGGGCCTGTTTCCCTTTCTGTAACTAGCACTTTATGCAATGTGGACAGAGACCAACTATGGGTGTGGTTTGCAGCCTGAGGAGGGAGATATTAATTCCAGAGGAGTCCCCACCCATAGCACCTACCTGCCAGGCCCTGGGAGGGAGGCACCAGCTCCTGGAAAGTCCCATAGCACCCCCAGAAACAGTGCCAACTGAGGCAAGGGTCAGGCAGTGGCCCAGCATCCAGATGCCTTTCCTGATGGTGCCAGAAATGCTGGCTGGGCTCTGGCTTCTGTTTGCTTGTCAGCAGACCGGTGCCAGACAACCTTGCCGTCACCTTCCAACAATGGCAGGCAAAGCCCCTTGGCATCAGCAACTGACACCCCCACTATGGGTGCCTTGGCTGTGCCTGGCCAGGGTGCCCAGGATCCCAGCTCTTCTGAGCTGGCCTGGTTGCCCCTGAGCAGGACACTGCTTCTCTGCCCTAATTTCCTCTACCTTTTGGGGATCTCAGGAATCACTTCACATGACAGCAGTGAGCCAGGCCTGGATCCTGTGACAGGGCTTAGTCAACCGAGACTAGAGAGCCATTTGCGCAAGATTAGCTTAGCAACGCTAGCAACAGAGGAGGAGGCAGAGGCAGATTGAGCTGGATTTTCATCCTGCTATGGTCCCCCAAATACCAGCAAGTCTATTTCTCATCTGGAAAGTGGGGTTCACAGGCACTGCCTCTCAGAGATGTGTTCAAAACCCAGGAGCCTGGGCCCTTCCCTGGCTAGAGGGACGTCCTAGACACAACAGTGACTAAAGCCCATCCTAACAGTCTCAAGGCAATCTCACTCAGTCTCCCTGACTCTGATAGGCCAGGCCATTCATCCAAGAGCACCCAGCAGCAAAGACACAACCTGAATGTGTTGGTACTTTCCTTGCAGTGGTGTCCCCCTCAGCCCATGTTTTGATGTCAGTGATAAGGTCAGTGAGTGCTCCTTAACAGGGTACTGTGTGGGGCATAGCCCCAGGCAGGCCTTATAGGGGGCTATGGCCCAGTACAGTGACAGACATTTAACCTGTTTGCAGATGAGGAGGCTGAGGCTCACCTGAGGTGGCAGGGCAAGAACTGGAACCCAGGCATGGCCAACTTCTGTGAAACATAGGGTCTTCAGCTGGACACAGTGATACCCAGCCTGAGGATGTCCAAACATCATATCCACTGAAGATGCCCATTTCTTCAGACTAAGGTGGGAAGGACTGATAAACTGGAGCCACCCCTCCCTGAAGAAGCCTGCAGCCAGAAGGCTGGCTGGGAGCCCAGGGGAGAGCCCTAGGCTGTGGAGGAGGTCTTCCCTCCAACCACCCTATGTACTTATTATTCAGGTATATGTTCAGAAATGTTTACAGGAAACTGGAACAGAGCAGGGAGACAGGAACCTGCCCACATGGAGCTCATGGGCAGTGGGGGACAGACAACCAGGAAAGCATATAAACAAGGGGAACTCAGATAGGGTCAGAGGCACAACACGAGGGGTGATAGGGACGGGGGTGCCAGAAAAGGGAAAGGGTTAAGGGGGAGGGTGCTCCAAACAGAGGGCATGGCATGTGCAAAGGCCCTGAGGTGGGGAGGCTGGTGTGGCTGGAACTGTGATTAAAAGGTAGCATGGGAAATATAAGGGTGGGAAGTGGGCAGGACCTGGAGGACAGTTTGGTTTTACGGGGAGGGCAATGGGGAGTCATGGGCAGATTAAGAACAGAGATGGGCAGCATTTCAGGATTCCTCAGAAACTAGCTGGCAGCACCTACCTCCCATGTGACATATAAAGAAACATGAGGCTCACAGGGCCTGAAGACTACCCAAGGTCACAAATGTGGCCAACTCAGAAGTCAAAGTCAGGGCAGCCAAGAGTAGGCAAGGGATCCTTCTTTTGCACACTAGCCAAGTACATGGTGATGGGAGTCAGGACAGGTTCACGTCAGCCCCACTGAGCTGGCAGGATCTGCCAGCTGGGGGCAAAGGAGACTTAGACACCACAGGGAGGTGGTACCTCCACAGCTATGTGCGTCAGCCAACCAATTTCCATGGAAGCCAGGAGCCTTCTGGGAAAAGGGTTTGCACTGACGTCAAGGGTAGAATTGGAGCCCTTCTCAGGCTAGAGGAAGTGAATGACCATCAGTGGGGTCAGGGCTCTGAGAGAGAAAAGGAACTCTGAGGTTCAAGCTAGAGGGGCCGGGTATGGTGCCTGGAACCCACCAGGGATCTCAAGGTTGTTTTGATGCTGATGGGGCAACGCAGAATGCATGAGCGGTCGGGTGACCACGATATACCCTCCAAGTGACTGCAGAGAAGGAGAGTTGGGGTCTGCCAGGCACAGCTGCCTGGGGACCACCAGAACACTTGGGGGATAGAGTGGGCATTGGGGGTAGCAACAGTGATGTCCACCCTATGGATGGGGAAACTGAGGTTCAGAGAGGGAAGGTGGGCTGCCCAAGCCACCCAGCAAGCAAGGACCTTAATGTGGCCAGGAGAGAGAGTGCAGGAGAGTCCTCCCGGGGTTACTGAGGTGAAGCTAGTACAACTGGGTACCTCGCATATACCAGTCTACTCTAACACTGGGGGGGGGCCTCTATCCCTCCCCACACTCCCTGTTTTATGGAGGATCAAATTGAGGTTCAAAGAGGTTACATCACTTGCTGAAAGGCACATAGCTGAGTGGAGGCTGGATGCTGAGCTCTCCAGCACCCCAAGGTGGTGCTGGGTGGCTTGGGCAGCCCACCTTCCCTCTCTGAACCTCAGTTTCCCCATCTGCAGGCTCAGAAATAACAAGCTTGGCACCCACAGACCCGAGACTCATACGATTGTGATCCCAACAGACTGTCTGAGGGTAACACTGGATCCTATATTCCAGCTGTTCTCAAAACCATTCTGCTTTCCTCAGCAACCCCATGGCCTGCCCAAACAACTATCCTCAATCGTTCAACCAACAGTCTTTTATTACCACGCACCACTGGCTGGCCTGGGGCCCCAGAGGTGGATCAGCCTCAGTCCCTGCCCTTTGGCCAGCAGAGCAAGGTATCTGTGACCCATTTCAAATATGAAAAAAACAAGAGCAGGGCCAGAATGGACTTCAAGGGGGAGGAGCAGGATTCTTGCCCCACTCTGCCACTGGCCAGTGTAGATGCCAAATTTCAGATAGCTCTTTGCTCCAAGGAACACTGAGAAGGCCCTTCTGGTAGGAGAGGGCTTAGGGAATGGGCACGACAGGTGACACCAACACTGTCAGCTGGTGAGAGGAACATAGGACCTAGTGTAGACTCCTCACTATAAGGGGGTGCTCCCTTTCCACGCCTGTCAGAAAACACCTCTCACTAAGTGAGGGGAGGAATCTGGGGAGGGGCAGGACATGCATTGATCTCCCCATTTCCTGAGTCACTCGACTCACCCAGACTCATGGCCCAGACCAAGGCTGGGTCATGGTGCCAAGTTGCCCTTTTGGCCAGTCCACAGCTCTCGGAGTTCAACACGGCAGCCCAGGTCCCGCAGGGCAGCTTTGGCCACGTCCTCGCAGTCTCGGTGGATGGCACGGGCTTGTGCAATGAGCGCCTCCGCCCCCAGTTCCAGGATAGGCTGTGAGAATGCTTGACTACGAGACACCAGGTTTCGGATCAGCATACAGGCCTGTTTCTGGAAGGGAAAGCAGGTGAGGGCTATAAGATGGTGGGTGGACCCCAGGGGTAGGGCCCACTCTGACCTAGTGGTCCTCTTCATAATGCAATCGGTCAATGATGATCGCAGCCAGCATTCCTCAGGTTCTATACTGTGACTCATCAGGCCAGAGGCATCTCTTCACTTCATGCTCTCGGCAGGTATGGAGGCAGGACTAATCCCCTATCTCCCAGGTGAGGACACTAAACTTCAGGATGGCCAAGGGCTTGGCAGGTGGGGTTGATCCCTCAGGTGTGAATCCTCAGTCTCATAGACTCTGGCATGGGCCCCAGGGGAGGGCACCAAAATAGTGGGAAAAGGGGGAGTACACAAGGCCCATCCTTCAATTACATTGTTACTCCTTCAGTCAACATTTGCAATCCTGCATATCTAATATGCGTGGGTGTCTAGAAGCCCCACAACAAGGCATCCACCACCAGCAGGAGAGCAGATGAGGAGCAGGTGAGGTGTGAGGGGCTCCCACCAGGGTGGTTGGGAGAGGACAAGGCAATGGGCCAAACAACGGCAATGGCATCTTGGGGAGGGACCAGAAGAGTGAAGGCCACAATAGGCCCAGAGCCTGGTGTGTCTAAAGCCCATGAGGAGGCCCCAGTGCTGGGGGCGTGCAAGAGTAGGAGGTGGGAGAGCCCAGGGCTTCAGGGAGGAGTGTGGGTTTCAGACCAGGGTTTGCGCATGGCCCCATCTACAGTTCAGCCCTGCCTACTCCCCAGTGAGGCGTGGACGGCAGACCAAGGCAGGGCTAGAACTGCCCCAAACCCCAGCAGAGCCCCATCTGCTCTCCCCCACCCCTCCTTCTTCCTAGATCTCTACAAAGGGCCTGCTAGGAAAGATCAAATGCAGGAAGAGCAAAACAGCAGAGACAGTACACTCTGGAGGATAGGATGTAGCTACAGGACTACAGTGATTGAAAAGAAGAATCTGTAAGTCTTGGGCTATGATGGGGATGGCTTCTGTCTGGCCCCCACCAGTCTCTTGCCCCTACTTCCCCCATGCCCACCTGCACGCCAGCTTCCTGTGGGTGTGCCTTCATGGCCTCCAGTGCGGCCTGAGCCCCACCGCCCTCCACGATGACCCGGCTGTTCTCTGGCTTACGCAAAGCCAGGACGCACAGGGCTGCACAGCTCTGCTCGCACACCTGCAGGGTGGGTCACAGGGATGACTGAGACCAGGCCAACAGACCCCAACAATCATCAGCTCCCCAAGGTGAGTGCCCTGCGACCTCATCTGGGCTGTATGGGTTCAGTAATAACAGGAATGGTACAAGGATGACAAAAACATCATTCAATCTCACCCCACACCCCCATTCTCCTGACCCCACTTCTCCCTCACCTCCACTTGAGGAAATGGAAAGAGCGTCACACAGATATAGGTGGTACCTGAGGACTAGCCAGGTGCCGGGTCATGGCAGCCACAATAGACTCTGTCCCGCCGGCATGGACAATGGCATCCTTCACATCATCGTTGCCTGCGATGGCCCGCAGGGCACTCAGCACCTGCTTCACAAGGTCCTGCATGGAAAGCATGAGGTGGTCACCCCTGGCTGGTCCCCCTCCTGTTGTGCCAGGAGCGTGCTGCTTGGTTGCTGTGTTGTGGAGGGTCTGGGCCAGGCCCGATGACACCCACTCTCATTCCTCTCACTCCTGGTAGAAAATACAAAGGTGCTAAAGGCCAGTAAGAGAGGGTGGATGGGTTTGTCTGTCCGCAAACTTTTTCTCAACCCATGGATCAATGAGAAGTAGAAACCACACTTTGGTTCTGAAGTCAGCAGACAGGGTCTGTGTGTTCTGACTCAGGCTTGTGTGGCTGGTAGGGGCCCAAAAGGCAGAGTTCCCTGGGAGGCTTGAGCCTCCCCCAAGTATGGAGAAAAATGTCAAATCAAAACCGAGGCAAAGGGGATTTCACACCCTAAGATGGCTCTGGATACCCACTTGGTGGTCACTGCAGTTGGCCAGCAGGGCCACCAGGACACTGAGGCCCCCAAGGTCGACGACCTCCTGGCAGAACTCATTGCGGACAGCCAGGCGGGACAAGGTGCTGCAGAGCTCACTCAACACACTGGGGTTGTCAGGGAATGCTGTGGAGA